AGTAGTGCGGGGGTTGAAGAGGGTTGGAATAGTTTTAACCCTTTCAGGGTCCGTCCCGTAGATCTACGGCTTTACGGTGAGTGTCCAAACCGTAGATCTACGCCATGAGCTCAGCTCACTCTGATAAACTGTGAGTGGTACATTTGGGCCTAGATATGAGAGAATACATCTATGTGGTATGTGTGCACCACATAAAACAGATCCTGCAGCACACTGTGTATAATGAGAGAAAAAAACTGAAATCATGATTTTTCGATTAAAACAGCAACTTTGCAGTGTTTTTTCGTATGTTTTTTATAGTTGTATTTGCGATTTCTTGGTCTCATTTGATAGAATGGAAGACATATTACAGAAATAGAGATGATTTTGATTGGTTTTAGCACAGGAAATGGCTTGAAACTGAGCTCAAAATAGCAGAAATGTTAAATTTTTGCCGATATTCAAGAGTAAACAAACGACCTCACACATCTAATACACGTCAGCTGGTGGGTCTAATATACATTCACAAATATGGTGATGATATTTATACAATTATTACAGTACTGCATAACAGTAAATCTTCTATTTTTTGGTGTGAACAAAAATTCATTATGTGAATAAAAAATCAAAATGGAATTTATTTGTAAAGCCTCAAAACATAACTAATGAACAGAGGAAATGTTAGTTTAGTGCCAGGAATGCCTACATTGTTTATTCTGGACCCTATTTTGAAATTGGAATATTTTGAACTTTGTGTTAAATTGGCCAAATTAACAATTTCCGATCACTTTATTTTGTAGTTGAAACAGTTGACTTGGCGATTTCTTGTGCTCAATCGATAGAATAGAAGTAATACTAGTGAAATAGCTAAGAATTTGGTTGATTGGAATAATGTAATTGGCCTAAAATGGGAGTCAAAGTCGGCAAAATCGCCGATTCGTAAATATCGCTGACACATCAAAATTCGCGAGAGCATAATTTCGTCAATTTTCCACCAAATTTCGTACTTTTTGTTTTATTACCTTCACAAAAAGATTCTCTACGATTTCATAAGAAAAAATAACAAATTTTTTTTTTTTAAATTCTTGGACACTGGTGCGTGACTCCAGATTTGGGCCTTGGACCCTGAAAGGGTTAAAAATGTAGTATTAGAATATGGGGCAGAAGTTTGTGGTTACAGGAGGGTGGGGGCAGGAGGAAAGAGGAGTGATTGGTGGAATGATGAAGTAAAGGGTGTGATAAAAGAGAAAAAGGTAGCTTACGAGAGGTTTTTACAAAGCAGAAGTGTTATAAGAAGAGCAGAGTATATGGAGAGTAAAAGAAAGGTGAAGAGAGTGGTGAGAGAGTGCAAAAGGAGAGCAGATGAAAGAGTGGGAGAGGCACTGTCAAGAAATTTTAATGAAAATAAGAAAAAATTTTGGAGTGAGTTAAACAAGTTAAGAAAGCCTAGGGAAAGTATGGATTTGTCAGTTAAAAACAGACTAGGGGAGTTAGTAGATGGGGAAAGGGAGGTATTAGGTAGATGGCAAGAATATTTTGAGGAACTTTTAAATGTTGAGGAAGAAAGGGAGGCAGTAATTTCATGCACTGGCCAGGGAGGTATACCATCTTTTAGGAGTGAAGGAGTGAAGAATGTAAGTGTGGTGGAGGTACGTGAGGCATTACGTAGAATGAAAGGGGGTAAAGCAGCTGGAACTGATGGGATCATGACAGAAATGTTAAAAGCAGGGGGGGATATAGTGTTGGAGTGGTTGGTACTTTTGTTTAATAAATGTATGAAAGAGGGGAAGGTACCTAGGGATTGGCGGAGAGCATGTATAGTCCCTTTATATAAAGGGAAGGGGGACAAAAGAGATTGTAAAAATTATAGAGGAATAAGTTTACTGAGTATACCAGGAAAAGTATACGGTAGGGTTATAATTGAAAGAATTAGAGGTAAGACAGAATGTAGGATTGCGGATGAGCAAGGAGGCTTCAGACTGGGTAGGGGATGTGTAGATCAAGTGTTTACATTGAAGCATATATGTGAACAGTATTTAGATAAAGGTAGGGAAGTTTTTATTGCATTTATGGATTTAGAAAAGGCATATGATAGAGTGGATAGAGGAGCAATGTGGCAGATGTTGCAAGTATATGGAATAGGTAGTAAGTTACTAAATGCTGTAAAGAGCTTTTATGAGGATAGTGAGGCTCAGGTTAGGGTGTGTAGAAGAGAGGGAGAATACTTCCCGGTAAAAGTAGGTCTTAGACAGGGATGTGTAATGTCACCATGGTTGTTTAATATATTTATAGATGGGGTTGAAAAAGAAGTAAATGCTAGGGTGTTCGGGAGAGGGGTGGGATTAAATTATGGGGAATCAAATTCAAAATGGGAATTGACACAGTTACTTTTTGCTGATGATACTGTGCTTATGGGAGATTCTAAAGAAAAATTGCAAAGGTTAGTGGATGAGTTTGAGAATGTGTGTAAAGGTAGAAAGTTGAAAGTGAACATAGAAAAGAGTAAGGTGATGAGGGTATCAAATGATTTAGATAAAGAAAAATTGGATATCAAATTGGGGAGGAGGAGTATGGAAGAAGTGAATGTTTTCAGATACTTGGGAGTTGACGTGTCGGCGGATGGATTTATGAAGGATGAGGTTAATCATAGAATTGATGAGGAAAAAAAGGTGAGTGGTGCGTTGAGGTATATGTGGAGTCAAAAAATGTTATCTATGGAAGCAAAGAAGGGAATGTATGAAAGTATAGTAGTACCAACACTCTTATATGGATGTGAAGCTTGGGTGGTAAATGCAGCAGCGAGGAGACGGTTGGAGGCAGTGGAGATGTCCTGTCTAAGGGCAATGTGTGGTGTAAATATTATGCAAGAAAATTCGGAGTGTGGAAATTAGGAGAATGCAAAAACAGTGATTATGTGTGAGTGAGGTGAAAGTGTTGAATGATGATGAAAGTATTTTCTTTTTGGGGATTTTCTTTCTTTTTTGGGTCACCCTGCCTCGGTGGGAGACGGCCGACTTGTTGAAAAAAACAAAAAAAAAATATATATATATATATCACTGTACTGTACAGTGGAACCTCGGTTTTCGTGATTAGTTCGTTCCAGAAAGTCTGATGAAAACTAAAGCAATATTTCCCATAAGAAATAATGTAAATCCAATTAATCCGTTCCAAACACCCAAAAAATATTAACAAAAAATACATTTTACAGAGAATAACTATAGTTTTACATACAGAAAAAAAAATGAAAAATAAATATAAATGACAAATGAAATGGATAAATGAACATTTAACATTACTTTTACGTTTATTGAAGACTCTTGTTGGTGCATGGAAGACGGCGAGGAGGGGAGGGGGAAGAGGAGAGGTTATTGTTTGGAAGAGGAGTCCTCTTTCATAAGGAATTCAGGTATCAAGGCCCTAGCTGGGGTTACTTCACTTCTTTGTCTTTTACTGGCACTAGGACCAGCTTGAGAGTCACAGTACCCGTCGCACAAAATATCTGTCCAGAGAGGTCTGTTTCTGGCAAAGTACTGTCACTGAACATATTGCAGACACGGCTTGCAACAGCTTTGTTAGGGTGATATTTCTCCACAAAATTTTGCAACTCACTCCACTTTGCACACGTCCTTAATCACTGAAGAAGGCACATTCTCCCGTCTCTCTTCATCCTCCTCCTCCTCTGAAGCAATTTCCTCAGCTACAGTCTGTTGCTGTTTCAGTTGAAGGTGTTGCAGCTCTTCAGTGGTTAGCTCTTCCCTGTGGTCGTCCACCAACTCTTCCATATCCTAGCCACTCACATCCGGATGATGCTCACTCAATGATAAACAAAGGCAGACTGAGTCACTTGGCGCATGAGTGGCCGAGTGATGCGTGCGAGCAGGCGGACATGTTCGGTATGGACCATTTCAACTCTACGAAAACCGAGGTGAGGTACGAAAACTGGGACAAAATTTCAAGGGAAAAAGTCGTCGTAAACTGAATCCTATGAAAACTGGGGCAGATGAAAACTGAGGTTCCACTGTATTGGTACTGATATATGAACATAAATCTTAAATGCACTACATAGGATAACAATACAAATATATAACAATACAAATGTGTATACACATACATAGAGAAAAAGTATCCCAAAGTATCCCAAACTGCAACTCAAATATATGAAGTATTTCACATTTATATTCATTAACCATGTAATATTTTTCCCACAAAAAAGTCTTAAAATGGTGTTATACTTTTATTTTTTTAGGACACCAGCCATCTCTCACAAAGGTAGGGTGATGCAAAAAAGAAGAAACACTTTCACCATTATTCACTCTTTCAGAATTGCCAGAGGTATGCCAATACCACAGACTAGATACTCCTCCAAACTGCAAATATCCTCACTCATCCTTCAGAGTGCAGACACTGTACTTCCTACCTTCAGGACTCCAAGTCCGACTAACTGTTTTCCCTGAATCCCTTAGCCCTCTAAATACTTTTAATAATCCTGCACCACCTCCTAATTTCCAAACTATGAATTCTCTGCATAATATTTATATCACACATTGCCCTTAGACATGGCATCTACACTGCCATCAGCCTCTTCATCACCACAACATTCACAATCCATGCTTCACACCCACATTAGAGTATTGGTACCACTTTACTCTCATGCATTTCCCTTTTTGCCTCCAGGGGATAACATTCTTTGTGTCCACAGGTACATCACTTAAACCTGCTACACTTAAATACACTAAAATAACTGAAGGAGCAACTAAAGTACCTGTTCCGAGGTTTCTCGTGAGATGGTGGGGCATAGAAATTCTCAACGGCTCTCAACAACCTATCACTCGGTGGAGTTGGAGGAGGAAGTCTCAAGTCAGAGGGGTTCAGTGGCATGTACTTGTGGTGTTCCATCTTGACCAGTGGTGCCATGAGTCCAGCAGGTAGTTCATAGTATGGCACAGTTGGTACAAGGTTTTCTTTCTGCTCCTCAACTGGGAATCCTGGTGGAGGTTTGCTGAAATCTACTAAAGGTAGGCCTGCAAACATAAACATGCAAATAAATGTAAAGCAAAGACTATTAGAATAATTAAAATTCCATTTAATAGTGATCTGACAATATCTAAGTTTTTGCCAATACCAAACCATCAAAATTAGTCAATATGAACCAATGCCAATAGTATTTACTCTAAGTGCAATGATGACAGCATCCACATTAGCTGTCAGTCATGCTACTGATTTTTTTTTTTTCAACAAGTCGGCTGTCTCCCACCGAGGCAGGGTGACCCAAAAAAGAAAGAAATTCCCCAAAAAGAAAATACTTTCATCATTCAACACTTTCACCACATCTCACACATTATCACTGTTTTTGCAGAGGTGCTCAAAATACAACAGTTTAGAAGCATACACATATAAAGATACACAACATATCCCTCCAAACTGCCAATATCCCAAACCCCTCCTTTAAAGTGCAGGCACTGTACTTCCCATTTCCAGGACTCAAGTCCGACTATATGAAAATAACCGGTTTCCCTGAATCCCTTCACTAAATATTACCCTGCTCACACTCCAACAGATCGTCAGGTCCCAAATACCATTCGTTTCCATTCACTCCTATCTAACACGCTCACACACGCTTGCTGGAAGCCCAAGCCCCTTGCCCACAAAACCTCCTTTACCCCCTCTCTCCAACCCTTTCGAGGACGACCCCTACACCGCCTTCCTTCCCCTATAGATTTATATGCTTTCCATGTCATTCTACTTTGATCCATTCTCTATAAATGACCAAACCACCTCAACAACCCCTCTTCTGCCCTCTGACTAATACTTTTATTAACTCCACACCTTTTCCTAATTTCCACACTCCGAATTTTCTGCATAATATTTACACCACACATTGCCCTTAAACAGGACATCACTGCCTCCAACCGTCTCCTCGCTGCTGCATTTACCACCCAAGCTTCACACCCATATAAGAGTGTTGGTACTACTATACTTTCATACATTCCCTTCTTTGCCTCCATAGATAACGTTTTTTGACTCCACATATACCTCAACGCACCACTCACCTTTTTTCCCTCATCAATTCTATGATTAACCTCATCCTTCATAAATCCATCCGCCGACCGTAAAATCCCAAGATCTGAAAACATCACTTTTTTCCATACTCCTCCTCCCCAATTTGATATCCAATTTTTCTTTATCTAAAATCATTTGATACCCTCATCACCTTTTACTCTTTTCTATGTTCACTTTCAACTTTCTACTTTACACACATTCCCAAAACTCATCACTAACCTTTGCAATTTTCTTTAGAATTTCCCATAAGCACAGTATCATCAGCAAAAAGTAACTGTGTCAATTCCCATTTTGAATTTGATTCCCCAAAATTTAATCCCACCCCTCTCCCGAACCCCTAGCATTTACTTCCTTTTACAACCCCATCTAAAATATATTAAACAACCATGGTAACATTACTCATCCCTGTCTAAGACCTACTTTTACCGGGAAGTAGTCTCCCTCTCTTCTACACACCCTAACCTGACCCTCACTATCCTCATAAAAACTTTTTTCAGCATTTAAAAAAATTACCACCAAACCCATATACTTGAAAACCATCTGCCACTTTGCCCCTTTTCCCAAACTCAATCATATGCCTTTTCAAAATCCAAAAAATGCAATAAAATTTCCCTCCCTTTTAAATCTAAAAAAAAGTTCCCATACAGGGGAAACCCCCTTTAACTTTTTAAAACCCATGCAAGGGGGGAAATTTGTTTGCGAAAAAAACTTTATTAAAATGAATTTTCCCCATAAAACTAATGGAAAAAAAATTTTAAAAAATTCCCGTGCAAGAAAAACCCAAAAAAATAAAAAAAAATTTTTTTTTTTACCACATAAAAATAATTAATTTTAATACAAACAAACTGAAAAAGGCATGCACACTTACATACACTTATTTTTTTAAGATTGGTGATGAGGGGATGGGATGGGAGGGGAGAGCATTACTTTTTACGGGTTAAAGGGGAATCCCCTTAAATTGGGACTTGAGGTAGCAAGTCCTTTTCTGGGGTTATTTTCCCCTTTTCTTTTTTTAATCCCCTAGGGCCACTTCAGAGTCACTGGACTTCTTTCGCACAAGATATCTGCCATAGGGGCCTGAAACCCCCTCGTTCCTTTATCACTTCCCAAAATGTTTTCACAACATTGTCAGGGTACATTTTGGCCAAAAAGGGCTTGCAAACCCTGGGGGGGTGATTTAAATCCATAAAGGGTTTTTGGCACTTCAACCCACTTTTGCAAGTTTTCCTTTTTATTTTTGAGTAGCAACTTCTTCAATTTCTTTTTTCTCCCCCCCCCAAAAACCTTTCCCCATCGGGCCTCTTGCTCTTGAAGTTGATCTATCAGCTCACAGGGGTTAGTTCCCCTTTGGGTCGTCCCCCCCAAACTTTTCCACATCCCCCCCCACAACCTCCAACCCCAAGGTTTTCCCCCAATCCACAAGGTTTTCCTCAACGGGCACAGGATTCCCCGGGGTTAGCCTCAAACCCTTCAAAACCCCAAGCAGATTCCCCAAAGGTCCCCTTATCATTTCCTCCCAAGCCTTCCCTTTAAAAGGGTTTTAAAAACAATTGAGGATTTTAAAAAGGTAAATCTCCCCAAAACCCCTCTTAAGTCATTTATTTCTGAGGTCATTACAAAGCCCTTTAAAACCCAGAGCTTTTGTTTACATTTTTTGGGAAGTTGGAAAAACCTCGGTTTCCAATGGGTTGCAGGAGAGGGGAAATTAGGAGGCAAAAAACTTCCACCTTAAAAACCCAATGTCCCCAAAAAGTCGCTTTTCCACGTCTGTGGGATAAACCGGGGGGTTTGTCCTAAACACCAGGAGGCATTTAATTTTCTAATTTCTTTTCATTTAGGTAATTTTTAAAAATTTGGGGGGGGGGGGGGAAATGCTTGGGGGGGGTTAAAACCCGGGGGGTAAAAAAAATTTCCCGGGGGGTGACCCATTGGCCTTAGGGTTTACGGGGAAAAATTATTTGGGAATTTTTTGGGGGGAAAAGGGGGGGGGGAAAGTTTAAAAGGGGGGGAATTTTAATTTTTAAAGGTTATTTAAACCCAAAAGCATTGGCCCAGGAGAAGAGAACCCTGCTTTCTTTGGTTATGTCCTGGGATTTGCCTTTTCCCTCCTGGAAAATGGGGCCTGTTTGGGCTTTTTCTTCCAGAACGGGCCTTTTTCATCCAATTAAACATTTTTCCCAGTTTCAGTCCTCGTTTCAAATGTACTCCTTAAAATTCCTGCACATTTTTTTTCGGGCCGTTTTTGTGGTCCGAACTGGAAAGCCTCGCCTTTCCTTATCACACTAGGGATGCCCCTACCTTTTTTAAAACCCCCTAAAACCAACCTTTGGCGGGCCTTTAAAATTTCCACTCACATCATCACTATTTTGAAAGGCTTTTTTTTTTAATTTAAAAAACCTCATGAAAATTTCCCCTACCCTTTTCACATATACGTTTGAGAGACGCAAATCTCCGCAGCTTTTTTTCCCCATTTATCCACCCCAATAAAAGTCTCTAACATCTTCCACACTTGCGATCTTTGTTTCGAAAACACTTTTTAAACCCCTTTGGCAAAAACCGGGGCTTCCTTGATTGTTTTTTTGGGTCCCCCACAATAGTAGGATGGTTAAATTGGGGGTTTTCTTGTACAATTTGACAAAGGGGGGGCGTTTATCACTCCACTTTCATATTTAAACAAAAAACTTTTTCCTTCATTTCAAGGGGTTTTTCCCTTACCCTTATTGGTGTGGGTTTGGGCACAAAGAACTTTTTTGGGGCCCCCAGGGTTTTCCACTTTTTTTTCCAGAAACGAAACCGGGAAAAAAAACCTGTAAAAAATACGAAATTTTCCCCGAGTGTATGTTTGGGATTTTTAGCGCGGAGGCGGGCTGGTAAACAAGGGCACGGGGGGCCACATGGAGGCGGGCTGAGGGCCACTTTGGGGACGCGCTGGGACAAAATGGGGTGGGGGGGGTTTTTAATCGGAAAGGCGGGGCAAAAATTTTGTGATTAAAGTAAGCGGAAATGCAAATAATCGCTATGGATGCCCCGTTTTGCGGGGTCCACTGATATGCTTAAATTAAAAACATTTGATCTACACATCCCCACCCATTTCTGAAACCTCCCTTGCTCTTTTCCCAATCCACATTTTTCTTACCTCTAATTTTTTCAATTATAACCCTACCGTACACTTTTCCTGGTATACTCAGAAAGTTTTATTCCTCTTTTTTTTTTTACAGTCTTTTTTGCCCCCTTTTTCCCTTTTTTAAAAAGGGGACTATACATGCCCCCTCCCGCCAATCCCTAGGTCCCTTTCCCCCTCTTTCAAACATTTTTTAAAACAAAATACCCCCAACCCCCAACACAAAGTCCCCCCCCCCCTCCTTTTAAAAATTCTGTCATGATCCCATCATTTCCCCCGATGCTTTCCCCCCTTTAAATTAACGAAAACCCTCACGTACCCCCCCCCACATTTTACATTCGGGCTCTTCTTCACTCCTAAAAGATGGTAAAAACCCCCCTGACTAGTGAAATGAAATTACTCCTCTCTTTTTTCCCCTTAACATTTAAAAGTTCCTCAAAATATTCTCGCCACCCAAACCTAATACTTCCATCTCCCATCACTAATTTCCCCTACTCTTTTTTTTAACTGAAAAATTTCCATATTTTCCCCTGGGCTTTCTTAACTTTTTTTAAACCTCACTCCAAAATTTTTTTCTTATTTTCTTTAAAAATTTTCCCTTGAGAGGGCCTCTCCCACTCAAATCATCGGGCTCTCCTTTTGCACTTCCTCACCACTCTCTTTACCTTCTTTTACTCCCCATAAAATCTGCTCTTCTTAAAAAACTTCTGTTTTTGTAAAAACCTCTCAAAAGCTCCCCTTTTTCCCTTTCTTTTATCACACCCTTTCCCTTCATCATTCCACCCTTTCACTCCTTTTTCCTTTCCTCCCCCCCCACCCTCCTATAACCACAAACTTCCC